GTAGTATCTCATTATGTGTATGTACCATAGTTTCTTTATTCATTCATCCATTGATGTGCATATAAGTTGCTGGCATCTTTTTGCTATTATGAATAGTACTGTGATGAACATAACCAAAAAAAAAAAAAAAAACAAGCAAACTGTGCCATCAAGTTGAATCTGGCTCATAGTGACCACCATTGGGTTTCTGAGGCTGTAAATATTTATGGAAGCAGATCACCCCATATTCCTTCCATGGAGTGGCTGGTGGGTTTGAACTGCTAACCTTCTGGTTAGCAGCCAAGTGCCTTATCTGCTACACCACCAGAGCTCCTTGTTTATTCATGTCATTTCTATAGGATATATACCTAGTAGTGGGATTGCTGAATCATACAGTATTTTTATTTCCAACCTTTCAAGGAATTGCGGTACTGTTTTCCACAGTGGTTATACCATTTTACAATCCCACTGGAGTGTATTAGGATTCCATTCTCTATATATCTTAACTAGCATTTATCTTTTTTTTTTTTTTTTGGTAAACATCAATGTTGGGATGAGATGACATCTCATTGTTGCTTTGACTTGGATCTCTTTAATGGCTAAGGATCATGAGCATTTCTTCATGTATCTTTTAGCTGCCTGAGAGTCTTTTTGGTGACATGTCTGTTCACATTTTCTGCCCATTTTTAAATTGGATTAATTACATTTTTGTTGTTGAGGTGTTAAGCTTTCTAAAAATTTTGGAGATTTGTCTCTTTTCTAATATGTTGTTGCCAAAACATTTTTTTCCCTGTCTATGGGTTCTCTTTTCATTCTGTTGGTGATATCTTTTGATGGAATAAGTGTTTCATTTATTCCCACTTCTGTAGGCTTTTTTGCTGTTCTTTTTCTAATTGTTGAAGTTCTTGTGTGAAAGTTTGGATTTTGGTTCTTTTTTCCTTTTTGATGTGTGTGCCTATTGCTATTATTTGCCCTATGAGCACTGCTTTTTCTGTGTCCCAAAGGTTATGGTATGTTGTGTTTTCATTCTTGTTTGATTCAAGGAATTTTTCTATTTCTATTAACCAATATAAGTAGAGTGTTATTCAGTTTCCATGTGGTTTTTTTTTTTTTTTTTTTTTTGCTTTTTCTTCCTTTTGCTGATTTCTAATTTTATAGCATTATGATCTGAAAGATGCTTTGTAGTATTTCAATGTTTTAAAATTTATTGAGGCTTGTTTTGTGGCCTCACGTATGATTTATTCTGGAGAATGTGTCATGTGTGCTGGAAAGAAAGCATATTGTGCTGTTGTTGAGCTGAGTGTTTTGTATATGTCTATCAGGTGAAGTTGGTTGATTGTGTCATTTGTCTTCTGTGTCTTTGTTGAGTTCTTTCAAGTTCTGCTCTTCATCAAAAGTGGTGCATTAGTCACCTACCACTATGGTGGAGTTGTCTATTTCTCTTTCCAATTCTGTTAAACTTTGATTTCTGTAGTTTTGGGCTCTTTTATTGGGTGTGTAGATATTTATTACAGTATTTCCTCTTGTTTGAGTTACTGTTTAATCATTATATAATATCTCCTCATGTTTCTAATTCTGTTTTTTGCCTTAAAGTTTATCTCATCAGCAAGTAATTTTGCCTTTCTTGCTTCTTTTTGATTGCCATTTGCTTGGTATGTGTCCATTTGTGTCATTTATGGTTTTCCATACTTTGAAAAAAGCCAATTTTTAAAATGTGTGCTAAGTTGTGTCTCTAGTAGACAGTATATTGATGGGTAATATTTTCTTACCCATTCTACTAATTTCTGTCCTTTGACTGTAATTATCTATAGTAATGAATTGATTGCCATCATTTTGCTGGTTTTATTTATTTATTTTTGTTCTTGCTAATTTCTTTTTTCCATATATTTTTCTGTGCTGTGTTGATTTTGTTTACGGATTTTCTTATCATTTCTTTCATAGCTACTGTTTTAAAGTTTACTAAATCTTTATGATTATCTTCTTTTTTATTTCAATTAGGTTTATTAATTTTATTTGAGGTTACTTTGCAATTTATTATTTTCTTCCCAAGTTTAAAACAGTCTGTTCTATCTTGAAATCATCTTGACTTCTTCTCCATTTTCCATAGTGATACCACCTCGGAAACCCAAGGTGGGGTCACTATGAGTCGGATATGACTCTACAGCAGTGTGTTTTTGCATTTCTTCTCCATGTGGAAGTTCTGTAACTACCCTATTCCCTCTTTTTTATTTGTATTTTGTCATCATTTACAAATTGACATCTCTGGTTCCCTTTTTTCAGTCTTCTAGGTTTTACTTTGGGTACTTCTATATGTGTGTTGGTTTCTGGATGATGCTATCATATGTGTTAATCTCAGGTCTGCTGTTGTTGGTTTTCTGTTTGAAAAACTCTCTTTGGTATTTCTTGTAAGATTGGTCTGGTTTTTACAAATTCTCTTAATTTCTCTTTATCTGAAAATGTTCTAGTTTTGCTCTCATATTTGAGGGACACTTTTGCTGGATATATAATTCTTGGCTGACAATTTATTTTTCTTTCAGAGTTTCATATGTGTCATCACATTACTTTCTTGCCTGTACTGTTTCTGACAGGAAATCAGAGCTTAGCCTTATTCGTTGCCCTTTGTAGGTAACTTTTTGTTTTTCCTGAACTGTTTTCAAGATTCTTTCTTTGCCTCTGGTTTTGGAAATTTTGATTTTGATATATCTTGGTGATTTACTCTTGGAGTTTATCCCGATTGGGGTTCATTGAGCTTCTTCAATGCATATATTCTTGTCTTTCATGATATTAGGGGAGTTTTCATCCAACAAATCTTTGACAATTTTCTCACTGTTTTATTTCTTTATTTATTTGGTCTCTTCCTGTTTTGGAATAGCAATCACACATAAGAAGTCATTCCTCTTCAGGGTATGCTACATAATTCTTAGGCCTTCCTATTTGTTCTTTTTCTACTTGTTTTTCTAGTAAATTAGTAAAAAGAGATTTATCTTCAATTTTTCTAATTCTGTCTTCCATTGATTCAATTCTCTTCCTTTGAACTAACTGGGGTGAGTCCAGGCACCTTGTCAGCACTCCCGCAAGTTTAGGTGCCAGCAGGTGGCATGGTTTCTAGTATGGGATAATGCATTTGCTGGCTCAAGAGGTGGCTAGGGGTGGGTTGCTCAATCCAAGACTGTGCTTGTCCTACTGTAGGAGATGGTGGCATGTGGAATGCTCAGTCTGGGATAGTGATTTTGCTGGCCTAGGATGTGGCTGGAGGTGTGAAGGGCCCAGTCTGGGATGGCACATTCTGCTCATTCAAGGAGATGGAAAGCATCTTCTAAACATGCATGCAATGCCTGATCCATGAGGGAATGCCTTCAACTTTAGGCAGGGTAAAGATGGTAGAAAAGGGTTGTCACCAGCTGCTGGGTGGGTAGGGATGATGCATGGCCACACTTCTGCTCACAGAAGGATGTGGGGAATAAGAAGAAGATCTCACTTTTTTGGTTGCCAGCCACTGGTGTGGGTGCTGAGGCAGTCTTGGATGAGTGGAGCCGATGATCAGGTTCCTTCTCTGATCAAAACGCTCTTTGCCAATACTCAAAATTGAATTCTGTGCCAGGCAAGTTGACAATTCACCACTCTGTATGTATCCTTGTTTGCTGTTTTTGTTCAGTTTCTTCTTCTACACAGTATTTGATCTACTTGTTTATTTTTTTCATCGAAGCTCAGGGTTCCAGGATTATCATCTGTATCTGTTTCATTTTTTGTGTGTGTGTCTTTCTTGTAAAGGATATTGGTGACTTGCTTGCCTAGTCCAATATCTTGCCCTAAATCATTATATTTTGCACAACATTTTCCATGCTAAAACCAAAGAACCCCAAACCAATTGCCGTAGAGTTGATTCCAACTCATATATGTAAGAGTAGAACTGTGCTCCATAGGGTTTTCAATGGCTGATTTTTTCAGAAGTAATAGTAGTTTAGGTGAACTCAAACTGCCAATATTTTGGTTAGCAACTGAGTGCTTAACTGTTTGCACCTCAAGGATGCCTTTGAATATTACTGATAGATATTAATTTAACAAATAAATAAACTTTCCAAATGCCTATTCAATTATTATCAAGGGCATAAGCAAAGTATTCCTCATATTAAAGTTAACTTTTAGGGCTATGATCCCAAGGGGATCTCTGATTCTCTGCTTCTAATAAGGTCCCAGGTCTCTATACCCAGAATAAAACTGTTCTGTCTCTTGTCCTGACTGGCACAGATGACAGGGAAAGATGCTTCCTCCCTTTGGCAAATGGGTGAAAAGCCTTGGGGGCAAAGTTTCAATCAGATATCATGTTCTTTTGCTCTGAAAGAATTCTAAGGCACCAAAGGCTCTGATCTTCTAAACAGGTCAGGGGAAAAAGAGGTCTATGTATCTGTCCTTCATCTATGTTGTCACTAAGGGCATTTCTATGCCTGAACAATTGAGGATAAGAGTGGTCCAAAAGATACAGCACTGAAGCTCCAGGCTGATGGAAGTGAGTAATGAATCTGAAATAAACTTTTCCTAAGTTTTCAACCTTGGGCACTGAAGGCTCTGAGGAAGACAACCTTGCCTTTCTGCTCTGTCCAAGTAGACTGTGAGGTGGACACCCTAGGCACAGTTGAGTTAGTTCCAGCCCCTGACAGGACTCTCCCCAGAGTAGGGCCACAGTGTTCATAAACTGGGGCAGAAACTGGAGTTAGAAGGACACAACAAAGGGACCAAAAATCTGAGAGTCATCTCAGCTCACCCTTGTGCAGTTTCTTCTCAGCAGCACCTGCCTTTACCATGGAGGCAAATCCATCCCCAGAGCATACTTCAGAGGGTAGAATCATTTGGGGGTGTGTGCAAGAATAGAACCACAGGGATCAGGAATGATCTCTCTGATGAAGTTCAAAATATCTATGTAGATTCAACCAAGAATGGGTGAGGTGACTAAGAGAGGAGGGGTGACCTCTCTTTTTTCTCTCTAAGAAGCCCTTTTTCTTTGTTCCCACAGAAAGCCTTAAATGAGAATGGTAGGCAGAAACTCCTCTGTGACAGAGTTTATCCTCGCAGGCTTAACAGACCAACCGGGACTCCAGATACCCCTCTTTTTTCTCTTTCTAGGTTTCTATTTGGTCATTGTGGTGGGGAACCTTGGCTTGATTACTCTGATTGGACTCAACTCTCATCTGCACATGCCCATGTATTTTTTCTTATATAACTTGTCCTTCATAGATTTTTGTTATTCCACTGTTATCACCCCTAAAATGTTGATGAGTTTTATCTCAAAGAACATCATCTCTTATGCAGGGTGTATGACTCAGCTCTTTTTCTTTCTTTTCTTTGTTGTTTCTGAGTCCTTCATCCTGTCAGCAATGGCATATGACCGCTATGTGGCCATTTGTAACCCACTGGTGTACACAGTCTCCATGTCTCCCCAGGTCTGCTTACTTCTTCTGTTAGGTGTCTATGGAATGGGGTTTGCAGGGGCCATGGCCCATACAGCGTGCACGGTAAGACTGTCCTTTTGTGCCAACAACCTGATCAACCATTACATGTGTGACATCCTTCCCCTTCTGGAGCATTCTTGCACTAGCACTTATGTGAATGAGCTGGTTGTCTTTATTGTTGTAGGCATTGATATCGGCGTGCCCACTGTCACCATCTTCATCTCTTATGCCCTCATCCTCTCCAGCATTCTCCATATTCACTCCACTGAGGGCAGGTCCAAAGCCTTCAGCACCTGCAGCTCCCACATCATTGCAGTTTCTCTTTTCTTTGGGTCTGGGGCGTTCATGTACCTCAAACCTTCTTCTCTTTTGCCTATGAACCAGGGGAAGGTGTCCTCCTTGTTCTATACCATTGTGGTGCCCATGCTCAACCCGTTAATCTATAGTTTGAGGAATAAGGATGTCAAAGTTGCTCTAAAAAAACCTTGACTAAAAAATTTTTCTCCTGAGAAATGTTCAATACTTATGAATGTGGATTTTTTTTTTTTCCTTCTCCTGGAGATGATTCAGGATTCAGTGGTTACATGAAAGAAATTTAGACTCTTTCTGAAACAGGTTTATCTTCTCCATTTTATGCACCTAAGGAAAACTGGTGGCATAGTGGTTAAGGCATTTGGTTGCTAACCAAAGCATCAATGGTTTGAACCCACCAGCTATTCCTCAGAAGAAAGATGAGACAGTGTGCTTCTATAAAGATTTATAGCCTTGGAAACCCAATGAGGGTCTCTAAGAGTCAAAATTGACTCAATGGCAGTGAGTTGAGTTTTGTTTTGGTTTATGCACCTGTTGCTATTCCGTCTATTCTAACTTATGGTGTCCTCATGTATGTCAGTGTAGAACTGTATGCCATAGGATTTTAATGACTGAGTTTTTTTGAAAGCAAATCACCAGGTCTTTCTTCTGAGGCATTTTGGCTGGAATCAAACTTCCAACCTTTCAGTTAGTAGTTGAGAGCTTAACTGTTTTCACCTCCCCACTTGAAGTGTTCTTTAATTTATGAAGATTCTCTATAGAATAATTACATTAAGTGGGTCTTGAGAATCAGTTAATTCAGCTTCTGCTTTTATCTAAGAATAGATGCAGCTTATGCACCTTCTCCAAAGTCATCCAGCTTCTTAGTTTCAAGCTGTGACTAGAACTCAGGCTCTTGATTTTTAATACTGGTTGATGTGAATTATGGCTCACTTTCTTACTCCATCCATCTCTGGCAGATTTCATTTCAAATGTAAGCTGGCCTAGGATATTAAAATCTGATTCAGTCTATACAGTTTTTCAAGGAACAATTAAAAATATCACTTTTTTTTTTACAAGAAGGTAAAGTGGCATAGGATTATGTTGAGATTGCCTTGGTTAAATGATCAGAGAAATTCTTGAAAAATTTTGCAGTGTGAGTGAAGTGATACAGCAACAAGCATTGTACTTCCTGAGTTAGTGGTGTGGAGCTTCAAGGGCTTAGAATTCAAGGGATTTGACAATGCTGGAGGAAGATCTTATAGAAAATATCAAGGTTAAGAAGAACAGAATTTGGGAATTATTTATTACACAATCTTTTCCTTGGTTTTAAATTGTGGTTTGAAAACCAGGGTGAAGATTGCAGCTCAGAGTGATCAGCTAAAGATCAAGAGAATATTTCAGAACCATAGAAAGCCTTGTATTACAAGTCAGTAATCAGCACAGAAATGACTGTGGAATGCTATGGTACTGCATGCAACAGAGATTGCAAGTGTATTCTCTGTATGTCTCTCTAGTCCAACTTTCTGCCCTTTTACACCTTTCTCCATGTCTTGGGAAGCATTTCCTAATGGATGGTGTCAATAGACTCCTTTACCCTCTAGTTTCTGGTTGGACTATGCCAATAGAAGCATCAGCAGAAGAAATCAGAAAGAAGAGGGGAAAGATATTTTGATACTTATTTCCCTGACTTCCTCCTAGCTGGACTGTAGTGGCAGTGCCCGAGTGCCCCATTTCCAAATAGGTTACAGCAACTTTTCCCTCCTTTTGCTTCTGTAATATCTCCCTGCTGTTGCTAGTCCTGGGGACTTCATCATCACTTTGTGGTTTCTCTTAACCCTGCCTGCACGTTTGCACTCAATCCCTTGTTTTATTTTTCAATTACTTTGAGTGGATCATTTGGTTCCTTCTGGGACCCTGACTAATGCACCTTCCAGTAATGGGTAAAAGCATTAGTACAACTCAGATTTGTAAACCCAAGCCTATTGGTAAGGAGTTCTGGTGGTGCAGTGTCTAAGGCATTTGACAGCTAACAAGAAGGCTGGGTGTTCAGACCCACCAGCCACTCTGTGGAAGAAAGTTGGGGCAATCTAATTCCATAAAGATTTACTGCCTTGGAAACCCATTGGGGGTTGCTGTGAGTTGAAATCAACTCAATAGCAGTGAGGTTTTTTGAAACTAATGGTACCATGTGGAGAGAGGTAGAGTTGCCATTGATTTCAAAGAAAATTACAATTGGTCAAGATTCTTTGTGAAACAATAAGCTGTGAAATGCTCTTAATATGTGAAAAGCAATAATGTGTGAAAAAACTTTGGACCTATGAAACTCTTTGCAGGGAAATTATCTTCTATTTGGAAAATTGAAGTTTGGATGCATATTTAGTTTTTCCTTTCAGTACAGCACACATCTATGAAGGTGTATTCAAAAGAACAAAAAAATTAGTGTGGAATGAGAGGAGTGTGTTTTAGACAGAAAAAAAAAAAATAGATGAACAGCATGGAGTTCAGCAATTGGGGCAGGTGAAATGGGCAGACAGAACAGCATAAAATTTCAGAAAGAGAAGGGACTAGAGTTGGAGATTACAATCAAGTTTGAACCCTAGCTTCTATGTTTGACATTAAGATACTTGATGTCTCTGAGCATCATCTTCAGCAACTTTTTTCAGAGAATTATTAAGAAAGTTAACATTCTAGTATCAGAGTGTCCACTAATTTATTATCACCTTGAGAAAATCACTTCATCTTTGTGGGTTCATGCCTGCTTATAAGAAAAAATGATCATATTTTACTAAATTATTCCTATGTTCAATGTAAAATATATGTTTACTGTTGACTGGGTAGTACATTGTTGTGGTTACATTTGTGTGTCAACTTGGCTGGGCCTGGTTGAGTGCCTGGGCAGCTGAATGTAGTTATTCCCCATGATGAGATTGGTAATTAACTACATGTTGGAATCTATTGGAGCAACTGAGTAGATGCTTTGGCTATGTGGTCTGCTTCTGGTATATAAAAAACAGCTTTGGGAATGGTCCCAAGCTTATGGCATGCTTGAACCCTTCATGTAGGCATGTCATTGTTCATCAACCTGCCATGCTCTGCTGACCTTGTGACTTTAATGGACTTGAACTTATGGCCTGCCATGTGGTTTGGTAACATCAGGACAGTGCCTTTTTATTTGTCAACCTTTGGCTTGTCAGTCTCAGCAGCCAGCAGCTGTCTGAGTAAAGAAAAGCCTCTAGCTCCAGTGGGCCAGAACAGGAGGCAGAGCTGAAGCCCAAGGTTGAGGGGCTTTCACCCAGCCCCTAGAGCCTGACACTTTGAACTCGGACTTAAAGCCTCCAAACTGTGAGAGAATAAACTCATTTTTGTTCAAGCCATCCCATTTGTGGTATATTTTCTGTTAGAGCAGCACAGAGGTAATCAAAACACTTGAACAGACACTTCACCAGAGAAGATATATGGGTAGCCAACAAACATGAAAAACTGCTTGTGATCATTAATCATTAGAAAGATGCAAATCAAAACAACAAGATATCCTCTCACCCCAGCAATAATAGCAAAGTTCAACAGGTCAGAAAATAACAAATGCTGGTGAGGTTGTGGAGAGATTGGAACTCTTGTGCACTGCTGGTGGGATTGTAAAATGGTACAACCATTGTGGCAAACGGTATGGTGTTTCCTTAAAAAACTGAAAACAGAAGTACCATTTGTTCCAGCAATTCCATTACTAGCAATGTATCCTAAAGAAGTGAGAGATAGAGCATGAACAGACATATGTACACCTATGTTCATCACAGGACAATTTACCTTAGCAAAGAGATGGAAATAACCTAAATGTCCATCAAAAGATGAGTGGATAACCAAATTATGGTATATGCACACAATGGAATACTATGCTACATTAAAGAACAATGAGGGATATGCAAATCATCTCACAATGTGGATGAACCTGGAGAACATTATGCTGAGTGAAAGAAGTCAATCGCAGAAAGACAAGTACTGTATGAGCCCATTACTGTAAAAAGACAGAGAAGGGTTTGCTTCTGAAAGGGAAATCATTTAGTAGGTTACTGGGATGGGGAGGGAAGGGGAAGGGTTAATTTGGGGCTAGTTGGGGCCTACACGCTGACGTGGGTTGTTGTTGTTGTTATGTGCCATCGAGTTGGCCCCGAATCATAGCGACCCCTCCTTGGGTTTCCGAGGCAGTATCACTACGGAAGTAGGATTGCCCAACCTTCCTTCCGAGGAGTGGCTGGTGGGTTTGGACCGCCAGCCCCCTGGTTAGCAGGCAAGTGTCTTAGCCACTATGCTACCAGAGCTCCCCTGGTTGAGCACCTGGGCAGCTGAATGTAGTTATTCCCTGTGGTGAGATTGGTAATTAACTCCATGGTGGAATCTATTGGAGCAGCTGAGTAGATGCTTTGGGTATATGGTCTGCTTCCAACAAAAAAGAAACAGCTTTGGGAATGGTCTCAAGCTTATGGCATGCTTGAACCCTTCATGTAGCCGTGTCATTTTTCAGCAGCCTGCCATGCTCTGATGACCTTGGGACTTTCAGTGGACTTGAATTAATGGCCTGCTGTGTGGATTGGTAACATCGGAACTGTGTCTTTTTACTTATCAACCTTTGGCTCGTCAGTCTCAGCAGCCAGCAGCTGTCTGAGTGAAGAAAGCCTCTAGCTCCAGGGGGCCGGAACAGGAGGCAGAGCTGAAGCCCAAGGTTGAGGGCCTTTTACCCAGCCCCTAGAGCCTGACACTTTGAACTTTGACTTAAAGCCTCTAAACTGTAAGAGAATAAACTCCTGTTTGTTAAGCCATCCCATTTGTGGTATATTCCTGTCAGAGTGGCACTAGGTAATCAAAACATACATGTTCTTGGTATATAAAGTTATTACCAAAGAATAATCAGTGAGTACAGTCTCCTTTTACTCCAGTTTCAGGACCTCCTGTGCCCCTCCTTACAGCCAATCACAGTTGCTCACTGGTTGTACATACAGGTAGTCCCTGACTTATGATAGGGTTCTATTCCAATGACTCTGTCTTAAGTTTGTTCTGATGTAACTTCAATACCCAATACCCTAGTTTTCATTATTATAGCCGTATATATTGATACTCTCAATATCTTCATAAATCTGATCTTTGTGTTTGGGGGTTGGAAATATTACATATAAATTTACAGATATGATGACATCAGCAAATTTTTCACTGAAAC